CCTAAATGGCTCAAGAAAAAATCTATGAAAAACGCCTTAGCCTGGGCTAGATCAAACACTACATGCCTTAGCAACAAGTTCTGGTAGACGGCGTTGCTGCAGCTCTGAACTCTTCAGGACATAATGTAGCTATTATGGTACAAGTATACTGCTTGGCCATCATCATTCAACATTTCCATGTATATGAAAAATTGCCTGGACATGTATGATAATTTGGCACCTAGAGACATTATACGCCGAGGAATGATGGATTTGATCTCTCAGAGAGCGGATAAAATGATCCTTTCTTCGGGGTACTCTAGTGAAATCAGTGGTATAAACTTGAATAAAAACTAGTGTTTAACCCGAATATTGACATATTTCCAAGACGCCCCTAAGAACAGATCATTTGTCCAGCCTTTGAGAGATCTTCAAGAATTTCTCGCCATCCATCTAGTTACCTTTGGTGTACAAGATGTCATTAGTAATAATGTGTGCCACAAACAAGTTGCATCGTGGATGCTTTGGAAAATCATAAGGGAGACTGATCATGTACTTTCATGGTGGTGTTTATTTGCTATTATACTGTTATTTTGGGTTTATCCTAATATTTTCTTGCACTTGTTGTTTCACTTTCATCATAGCCCTGCTTGAGAAGGATTTAAAACAGAGCGGTTTTGTGTTGCGAATGAGTCTTCAGACACTTCAGTCTTGTTGTTGCCTTGTTGATGGTTATATTGCTCATCATAATGCAAACTAGAAGTTATGCATCCAGATTTTATAGGATAAAGGGTGAATTCTCCTCGAAAATTGAGTGGTTAACTAGATTAGTGTTCGTGTGATACACGATAGTAATAATCTTTTTTGCAAAATTAATTGTGATATAATATAAAAATGAGACAACTCATGTGGAATAACAAATGCGATGCATATAGAAAAATAAAAAAATAAGGCAAAAATTATTAAAACTACAATTAAGGGAATTTTTTTTTTTATTGTTGATTAGTTGTGTTGAAAATATTTTAAAGTGGTATATATTATATTATATTAATGATGCATATTATTTTCCAATAAAACTATACAATCTATATGACTAAAGAATTATTTATAAATAGCTTTTAATAAACATGAAAATATTAATCAAACAACAAAATAAAATCTACTATAAAACATTAACACAACATACATGTAAATATATAAATTACAAATAATATATCACCTTTATATCTAATAAAATAATTGAAATAAATATTACTCGAATCATTAAAGGCAACAATAATCCACAATAAGGCAACACTAACCTATATTATTAATAATACATTTTCTGTTTATGAATTGATGCTCTACATGATCGATATCGCCGCTCTTTGTTATTATATAAAAATGTGTTTGAAGTTATCCAATAATTGTAGTTTGATCAATGTTTTTTTTGTAAAGGATACACAAGAAGATGTCACTTGTCACTACATCCGATGTGTATTTTACTATGCACCTTATTTATAACGTCAAATGTAATAAATTTATTATCTCAATAAAATGTTTCAGCAAAAGATAATATTTGTTTGTATTTACTAATATATTAATTTATTTAGTTACGTAATAACAAAAAAATGGTTGATATTTCACATTTTCATGTAATTAGACATATGATATAGTTGTCGAACACAACATTTATTTTATAGTTATATCTAATACTCTATTAAAGGTATTTGAAAATAAAATTAAAGTAATTTATTTAATATCAATTATATAAATCAAATTTAATATTACTTTTTGAGAAAATTTCAATAATTCTTCGTCTAAAAAATGTGTAGGCGGTAATGATAGTATCTTGTACCTAAACCAATGGCACTTTTCTTAATAATTATAAAAAGGGTAGAAATAATATTTTAGGTAAATGTGTATGGAAGAATTCAGAATACGAAATAAAAGAAATACATTTTAGGTAAAGATAATATATAAGATTTGGATTAATATTATTATAGTTGTATTTTACAAATATTCCAAAAATAAAAGAATATTTTGCTAAAAGGGGAGGGGAAGTTTTGGAGGGAAAATACAGCACCAGGAGATAACACGTGTCATTCCTAATGTCTATTTTAGTATTATGTTATTGATTTGTCAATTTCATTCTTGTGAATAGGAACATACTGACATACATACATTGATAAAATACACCAACATAATCTGAATCTTAAACTCCACACAAATGCTTAAGAAGCAGTTAAATATAATTTGCATTTATATGTGGATGCTATCTAACTTTGTTGATTAAAGTATTGGAGGGTGGTACTAAGATCAAATTATGTATACAACATTGTCCTTGTGACTATATCCACACCAAGACATAATCATAAGAATTGAGATGTAGCCAAATATGTGCAAAATTCATCATGCACTCTTGTGTAACTAACTAAGTTTATTTGTGTTACTCATTTGTTATTTTAGAGAGCAGTAGATGAGCAAATAAGCTCTCCAAATGGTTGAATGAACAAAAAAATTATATAGCAAATAACATCTCATTTGAAATGTAAGATATACTTCCTCCGTTTCTTTTTAGTTGACACGTTTCTTTAGTCACGTTTGCCAATGCACAAATTCAATCGTTAATATCTTTAATTACCGATAAGCAAAAATTATAAAAAGTTGATATTTTGAAAATATATACCGTGACGAATCTAACAAGATCCAACATGACTATATTTTTCATTACGTATAAATCACAAAATACGGTCAAAGGGAAGTGTGTGAATATTGCTAAAGTCAAAACGTGTCAACTAAAAAAAAAAGCGAAGGTAGTATAAGCTAATCTATACCATTTTACTAGTTCTTAAGTGATTAAAATGAGTGTGAACACAACAGAAGCAAATAGGGGTGTACACAAACTGGCCCGGACTTGAAAACCAACCTGAACCGGACCTGTTTGGACCGGACCAATGAATTCAGGTCCGGTCCCAGTCCTTAAAAATCCATGATTTCGGGATTCAAGTCCGGTCCGGGTAAAACCCGAAATTTTCAGGTCCGAACCTGAAATCGGTGAAGCTGTTTTTTTTTTATTTAACAGGTCCAAATAGGTCCCAACAGGTCCATATCAGGTCTAAACAGGTCCATAAGCAGGTCTAACTGGTTTTTTATTTAAAAAATAAAAAAAGGAACAAATTAGTAATAAGGTCTATTCAGGTGAAAACCCGGACCTGTTGATTCAGGTCCGGTCCCCGGTCCTTAAAATCAATGATTCAGGTCCCGGTCGGGTCCGGTCCGATTTTGGATCGGTGTACAGCCCTAGAAGCAAATACAAGTGGATGATCATTGACAACCAAATTTACTGGCATGAATTAAAACATAAATACTACTCATAATTAGAAGTGTCAAAACCTGGCCTGGCCTAAAAAAAACCCGATTCATATTTCGACTAGCATGGACACAATGATTTGGCTTGGCTTAAGTTTATTATAGACCTTTTCTTACCCGATTTCACCGAATCCGACTCGAACACCCGATTGACACATCTACTCGTAATACAGAATCTCATGTTGATCATATACGTAGTCAAAAGTACAGAGTTTACAATTATACAAGTATCATTGGCTAATACGAGTTGCAAATCTAATCTAATATATATAAATAAAGTAGGCATTTTTGGAGAGCATTCGGAGCGCCACGTAAGAAATATACTTATTTCGACCAATAAGAAGAAAGATTTGTATTTTAGTTTTGAATTAAAAAATTATGTCGCCACCTAGATAAAAGTAACGAATTAATTTGATATATCTAAAATTTTAATGCCACGTAGATTATAATCCACGAATTAAATAATTTTATTGAAAAAAAATAAAGTAAAAATATAGGAAAAGATAAATTTATTAATTCAAGGCTACGAGTATAAAAAATCAAAAATATATATATATATATATATATTAAGAAATATTTAAATGATAAATGCTTATAATAAAGTTTGATACCTATCATTATAAGATAAATTTTGATAGTATTATGATAAGAAATACAAATTGTTCGTTAATTATAATTTGTGATACCTACCATTATAGATTGACACATCATACTACACAAACAAAATTTCGTATTAATAAAAAACCTCATCAAGCGAATTTTGTGTTAATTATTCAGGCCATCAATGGCTTGGTAATTTTTAGCTTAATTTTTAAAATCCTATGTTTAAATTAGTATTTCTAATTATTACCTACATTGTATTAATTTGGGATACTCAACGATTATATGTTTATGTTTTATTTACTAAATGTTTTTTTACATGCAGTTCTAACACATCATACGATACAAATAAAATTTCGTATCAATACAAAACCCCATCAAGTGAATTTTGTGTTAGTATTAGGTCATCAATGTTCGGGTAATTTTTAAAATCTTATGTTTAAATTTATATTTGTAATTATTAGTTACATTGTATTTATAAAGGATACTTAACGATTATTTGTTTATGTAATGGCATACGATTAGATGTTGTAAACTTAATATATGGATGACTTTGGTTATTTTTGGAGATGATGAAAAAATTCTAATGCATATATTTGATTTTATATTGCAACAAATTTTCATTTATTGGTAAATATATTGATTTATTTATATAAATGTAAAGATTTAATTTATATCAATTTTAGTTTGGCTAACATTTCACGGTTCAATTTATCCATTGATGTAGTAGGTTGGTGATTCTATCGAAATAAAAGATATGGTAAAACAATGAATAATGATTTAGGATTTAAATTATTAAAAATTTATCATTTCACATTAAAAATTTTATATAACGGAAAAAATATCATATTTACAATTCATTTACATTTAATAAATTCATTATAAATTATAGTAAAAAAAAAGTAAATATTAAACTTTTGTAATTTTTTCTGAAATTATTAAACATAATAAATCAAATAATTAAAAATCTTAAATGAAAAAATCGTGCTTCCATCTAGTTAATTAGATATTAAGACCAAAACGGCGCGTTGGAGAGGTTAAGTTGTTGGGTGTTGGGTCCAAAATCCAGCAAATAAAAACCCCCTTCTCATCTCCCTAAATTATCGACATAATTCTAGGGTTTATAGAGAGCTTTTGAAAGCGCCGGAAAAGTAACGAAAATGGGGCACTCTAACATCTGGAACGCTCACCCTAAGAACTACGGTCCTGGATCTCGCGCTTGGTAGTCCATCTTTTTTACTCAGAATTTCAGATTAATCTGTATTAATTTTTCTGGGTTTAATTTGTTTGTTTAATTTCATTCAAATTGTGGCAGCCGAGTTTGCGGGAATCCTCACGCAATCATCCGCAAGTATGGTTTAATGTGCTGCAGACAATGCTTCCGTAGCAATGCCAAGGAAATTGGTTTCATCAAGGTTATCTCTTTCTCTTTATTTGATTTATTAGAATTAGTTTTTTTTTTAAGAAAATAATTTACACTGTTTTTGCTAATTTATTTTGAGAGGGTGTCTTGGGTTTGATTATATGTATATGTATTATTGTTTTATCTCCATTAATTTGTAGACCTTAATGTGAATTAATTGCCAATTCTCTCTGATTCCATGTATAAACTGTGCTATATTTCAAGTAACTTTGAGGTTAAAATTTTGACTTATAATTTTTGGGTGCTTAACTTTTATCTTGATTTTGGTACAAATGAATTGAAGTGTTTAGATGTTGTAGCAATGTAGACATATGAGTGTCGAGTATGTGACATTGATACTTGAGGTGAAATGAAGAGTCTGGAGAACATAGCTTGAAATGAGCTTTTTGATGATGATATTGCACTTGGAGACATTGCAATGTCTTTTTTTAAAGATTGGGAATTGGGAGTGTTATGTAACATCAATTTATAGCTGGTGCTCATTGACAGAGTTTTAGGCTTTATGAAACTTAGTATGTTATATTGAAGTGTTTTTGGCTTTACAGCACGATATTCTGAACTGTTTTATCAGTATATTGATTCTTGCGTGGGATGGTGAACTTTGTCTTTGCGGCGTTTAGTTTTGGGGTTTGTAATCAATGTATGGCTTTATTGTTGGGGAAAATATATTATTTGGAAGAAGATCATTGCTTTTGGAGAAATATGTGTGAATGACAAACATTTGGTTTTCCAACATTATACCTAAAGAAATAGGAAGATGAAACAGGAATGCAATTGCAATGTTGCTTCAATGACTTTGTTTAGAGGAGGATATAGGGATGTATGCTATACACATACCCGGCTTTCTTTGTTTGGAATTAATATGAAGTGTGCGAGGCTGTTAACTTGAAGCTGGCAAGATCTGCTGAGTTGTTGTAATGAATACCTTGAATCATGTATCAGCCTGTGCAATTTGCCGTTAATTGAGGATTTGTCATATACTTATCTTTAATGTCCTGGTGAACTTGTATTCCATCCACTAGCTTTTAAGGGGGGAAATTGCATGTTAAGAGCACAATATTCATCACCTATCTGATAGTTTTCGAACTGAAAGGTTGCTATGAAGTTCAGGGGCTTTAATGACTAGTATTAGTCTATTACCAACTTTTATTCAAGGAAGTTGGACATTCTTTGTTAATTTGGCGGATTCTTTCATGTAACTTTAGTTTTATGTTTGAATTACCAAGGAAATGTTTTGATGCGTAAAGTTTAACTTCTATTTTTCCTTTTTCAGTACCGCTGAAGTGCAATTTGGCAGCAATGCAGAAGCAGCTCTGAAGTTTTTGTAGATTGAGTTATGGAACACTTTTTATTTTTTTGCGTAAATGTTGACTTTGGAGTATGTAAAACCACTGGACCTGTGTGCCATTGGAATTTTAATCTGCTATGATTCTATTAATGGATGAGATTTGAATGTTCCAAATATATATAGGTAATGTTCTTGCCCTGAAATGTAGTTTCCTGCTGGTTTACGAGCTATTGCCCTGGAATATATTGGGTGTTATTTTTGTTTTCTTTTACTAGTATAATCAATTTACCTCCTATAAAATGGGTTACTGAATTCTGAATTCTGTGATTTCTCCAAGATTGGGTTCCTATTTATTATTTAATCGATATGGATGGTAGAAGTGTTGTTCGCCTGAGCAATTAACGCTGTCATCTTTGGTTATTTATCGTTGCTGTTCATTTGATCAGTAACACTTGTTTTGGCACTCGCACTAGGGACTGCTGCAAACCTGCAGTTAGCATAGTTGAACATTGTACTCTTCTCTATCTAGTGTGCAAAACTTAGAAGAATCAATTAAAGCAGTCTGCAAACTTATTCTACAACTACAAACTAAATCGATTTCGGAAGAGGGAGAGGGAAAGAGATTCTTTATGCAACCAAAACTTTGGAGCACTTGTTTTTTGGGGACAAGTACATCCGTACATGTGGGTCTTGGGCCGGGCTACCTCACAGTTTTAAATCAAATCAACATCTTTTCACCCCTTTTGTTTGTGGATGAACTCTCTTTGGTACAAATAATGAAATAAATGAGTAGATTGATTGAATTTATTCATATATATATTTATAAGTTTGTTGTAAAATTAATGGATTTATTGAATTCATTCACATATTAATAATTTTTCAACATATTGTGTTGTGATTATGTTTGTGTAAGAATGATTTAATACTTATAAATGTTATTTTAATTTTTAAAGAGCAGAGTATAACAGACTTTTAAGAATTTTATTACTTTATATTTAATAATAATTAAATTGTACTTCGTAATATTCATTGACCACAATAGTAGACTCGTATCAAATATTGACGTGTATCAATGTATCATTATTAATTATCCATTGTCATGGACAGTGAGCACTAATGTTGCAAAGTTAAACATATATTTTTGTGACTCAATGAGTGATAAAAAAGAATTAAATATAAACTGTTATCTAAGTTCAAATGCAGAATAAAGAAAAATATTTACGTAAGACCGTCTTATCATCATAAGATTAGTGTCCCGACTAGGTAAAATAAAAACTATTAACCATTGATGATACAACAATAAGATAAACCACATAAAGTTTTGGTATGTACAAAGTATTCTAATAACATTTTGTTGCATTTGGTTTAAAGAGAGAAATATGAAGTATAAATGATGTATAAAAATTTGATTTACAAATGTACAAATGATGTAGAAATATAAATGTATGAAGTATTCTAATAACATTTTGTTTCATTTGATTTAATTGACATACATAAGATTAATTATAAGCATAATAGTTATTGTTGTTTTTTTAAAGAATTATTATTGTTAAATTGAAATTATTTTCTTTAAAGTGACATGTTTTTTTTTTTTTTTTTTTTTTTTTTTTTTTTTTTTTACAGAATAAAGTGACATGATTTTTTTTGAACTGAAATTACGTAACACTACTTTTTTTTTTTTTTTTACTGTTTTATTAAACTAAAAAAATAGATTAAAAAAATAAAAAATAAAAAAAACGACGCGTTTGAACACGATGGTCATTGTGTTGACACAGCAATTAAAAACTCATCACCTCACTCGCTCACTCCTCCCCCAACATTCAGATTGCTAGGGTTTCCAGAAACACAGCGGCGCTTTACTCTTCTTCTTCTAGGGTTTATCCAAAAGCTTGAATCGGAGAAGAAAATGGGTCACTCAAACATCTGGAATGCTCACCCTAAGAACTACGGTCCTGGATCTCGCGCCTGGTAATCCCTTTCTCTTTCCAAAACTCAGCAGATTCCAATTTTAATCCATTTTTTCGATTAATTTTGTGTTTAATTCGACATTGATTTGCTTGCTTTATTGCAGCCGAGTTTGCGGCAACCCTCACGCAATCATCCGTAAGTATGGCTTGATGTGCTGCAGGCAATGCTTCCGTAGCAATGCCAAGGAAATCGGTTTCATCAAGGTAAACTTTAACCAGATAATCTTTATTTCCTGTTTGTTTGCTTGATTTCATCTGTTTAATTTGGTTTATTGGCATGATTGATTTTGTTAAACTTGATTAATTGACCTGATATTGTATTCTGCATTGTGTTTTTATTATCTTTGATGATGTGCCTGTGAATTGGGAAATTAATAGTTTTAATTTGTGTTTAGATAACGAAGATTAGTTATGTAAATTGAAATTAGTGTCTAAATGAATGTTAGATTCCTGTGTTTTCCCGTTCCGTTTAGTTTGGTCGAGTTGTTGTGCTTCTATTGAGGTGTGAATGTTAGAGATTGAAATAATCGGTGCCAGAGGCGGAGTCAATGATTTGTGTCATTGGTGTCGATAATTAATTTGAGCTTATGGGCTTCTATTTAGCTTAGAATGTTTGAGGTTGAGCTCCATAAATATTGATAAATTGATTACTAGTTTAAGCCGAGGTCTAGCTGTGATTGGTGAGACTCTCCTGACCTTGTTGACTTGGTTCTGTGACCTTGATACTCTGATTTGCCTATACAAGTTGTAACTTTGAGGAGGCGTAATTGGAGTTACTATGTGTTGGTTAGATGATGTATTAATCTGAACTATGGTGTTTTCTGCACCGATTGGTAGTTGAGATAGTTTAGAGATACTGTTGTGATTGGTGCTAGGAGTTACTTTGTGTTGGTCAGATTATGTATTAATCTGAACTATGGTGCTTTTTGTATCGATTAGTAGTTTGAGATAGTTAAGAGATACTTTTTGTGATTGCTATTTGAAAATTGCAATGTGGATGCTGTGTGTAACTTTGCAAGCAATAATTGGCAGAACTTTTTTATTGGAACTTTTACTTTAATCCCACTCCATCAGTTTTTGGGGAAGAACTTAGATGATCTAGTCTGGTGTTTATTTGTGGTTTTTAGCTACTCCGTACTAACCTGTAATGCTGCTAAGGCGAAACATTATTTTACATTCAAAGATGATCAAGTTTACTAATGAGTTCATGTTGTTGATTGAATAGGATTATACACCTATCTCTTGGTTGCTTTCCCAATGAAAGTCTATAAAAATTGATTAGTGTAAAACATGCCTGGAACTTTTATGTCAATGATTCGTAGCTAGGAAAGTATCCTCTGGTATAACTTGTGTGGTGACTGAGAGAATTTGGATTTAATGCCTGGGGAGGTAGAGATTAGAGTGGGGGTTCAATAATTATTGTATTTAGATCATAGGAATCACTTAACTAAACCAATTTGTTTGGTGGTGCCTATTATACTCATTGCCAATATTTGTTTAAGAGTGTTTTTGCTTCCATTGTACTTATATTTGATTTGTAGTGTTTTAAGTGAAGGTCTCATGTCATTTGACCTATTTCATCCTTTTTGTTTTTTCAGTACCGTTAAAGACTTGAAGTGTAGCATTGGAATCACTGCAGAAGCTGTTTTAAGTTTTCGTAGACTAGGCTTTCTATTTTGTGATCTTTAAAGGTGTGGACTATTCAGCCTGTATGGTTTTGAAATGTTAAGACTTTGATTTTCAGAGAATATAATCCTATTCATGCTTCAATATTGGAGTATTGCATACTTTTCTGCTGTGTTCAATTTAAGTCTTTTGTTTTTGGTTGGAATTAAGATATCTTGTTATTTTATACTCTTAATGTGATGTTAAAATCTTTAAAATATTTAAGTTTACTCCATTATTTTTGTGGTACCCATGATTGTTTTTGTTCCTTCATATAAAGTTATAAACAAATAGTTGATGTTGAAGGAAAGATGGAAATGATTTTTTATTTTTGGCAACAAACAATTGTAACGAGCTGGACTACCTTTTTTCTCTAGCAACAATGGAAATGATTGTTGGAGCATACTTTCAGTATTTGATCATGATTTAAATCCTCAGGTAAATACAGCATTACAGCCACAAGTTTTTAGACTGATGTGGGCAACGCTGAGGGGATTTTGGTAGAATTGATGGTCCTTAGCACTATTTTGTTGGTTTTTCAAATCAAGTGTCTAAAAATAGTAGCTAAGACTTCTCAAGCCCTTGTAAGGTTTTGAAATAAGCTCTTTCTCCTATAAAAACTCGCCTGTGAAAAGTCAACTTCAAATTTACAAAAGTGAAGAAAAAACAGTGAAGAAAAACAATATGGCCAACAAGGTTGCTGCTGTGTTTGTGTTGTGTGTAGTAGTTATTTTTTCCGTGAATATGGTTGAGGTTTCGGCAATAGCTAGGATTGAACGATGTGATCCTGGGTGTTTTGATCGATGCATGGAAGAGATTGACAATGAAGGATCTGCTGGCCGACCAACTGTGGACTCGTGCAACACTCAGTGTGAGAACGCTTGTGGCAGAACTAATACGGATGTAAGTAATCCCCGTGCTTCATTGTAGACGTGTGCTCCTATGTGACCGTCTAGATAAAGCTAGGGCTGATTTATACATGGTTGGCCCCGTGTAAGGGGTCAGTTAAGTACAGTTCGCTCTGATTCACGAGCCATAATTGTGCCAGGCAAGGTGAATCAAGCCAAGAGTTTTGCGTACTTCTTATTAAAATCCATCCATTAGGTTTGGGCTAACTATATTAGCCTTCCGTGGGTTAGATTGTGCTGGTCACCTACCCCATACTTGACCTGTTAACGTGACCAGTCCAACACCGATCTCTGGTCTGGTCGGTTAAATTCAGCTCACTGGCCCCTTGATATTAATTTTGCAATGTTTCTTATCTACATCACTAACGAGAAGGCATTAAAAACTGACCGTAGAATGTTGCATTCATACGAAATTGTAGTCCTTTGATCATAGATTAACTAATGGATGCTATTAATTTTCTTCTTGTTTACAGGTACAAACCTAGGATGTTGAATTCAGGAAGCAGCTATGCATGAATAAATTACCTCGCAAGCTGCAGTATGCGTACTATTTTACATGCTGATCGGATAACATTGGGAGCATTTTATAATCTAACCTCTAGATAATAATGATATATATATATATATATATATATATATTTTTTTTTTTTTTTTTCACAAAATAGAATAATAATATTGTTAACAAATAAAACTAGATAGTATAGGACTTACAACACTAGAACGATTAATCTATAATATAAATTTCAATTTCAGATTTGTTCGACCTCTGTGTTTGGCTCAGAGTGATCGATCTTATCCATCACTTTTAATTTTTCTAATGTAGAATATGTACTTACATCTAATGAATAATTTTATTTAAAAATAAAATTCCTAGCATACTTCATTTCAATTTCAGATTTGCACCATTTGAATTTTTTTTTTGCCTTTTCTCTTAATCATTTTTAAAAAATATAATTATACATATGAAAACATAGTCATTGAGAATTCTTGATACATGGAGTATGTCAGTATGTATTTTAAAATATATGAATTTCTTTTATATTAATTACTAAATGATAACTGAAAATATTCATTATTATATGAAATGCAATTGATAAGCAAAAAAAATCCCAATTATAGAGATAGGTATGAGCTTGGCACTTAGGTAGCAAGGCAGCATTATGCTTGTGCCATTATGCTTGTGCCAGGCTCGACATGATGGCAATATGCGACCCATAATTCACTGATGTGTCTCTGGTGTAGTCTCTCCTGTCAAACTTGTGCCGAGCTGGTGCATGCCGGGCCACGACACGATATTGCCGTGCTTAACCGTCCTAGCCAAAACCTAGCTCTAGTCCATGAGTTTAAAAGAACAGCATGTTATAAAAATTGTTTTTGATTTGTCACTCTTTTGGATAAGTTACCCAGATTACCGATTCTTTATAAGTGTACATATCCATTATTACGAGCCACATTCACTCCTCTACTCCGATGAATATCATGTACTCCACTATTGTTTTAAATCATTGAATAACAGCTGCAATTTTTTGTTTTCTTACTCGAGATAAGTGATACTTCGTATAATATGCTCCATCTTGCTTGATTAAAAGTCACTTTTTTTAGGCCATTTTAAACAATATGGTAGGGGGCTGGTAATTGGGGAAGGGAATTGAAAGGGTAAGAAATGACTAAATTGTCATTAATGAGAAAGGTGAAAAAGAAGGGGAAAGATATGAGTAAGGGTATTGATGTAATTTCTTAGTAGTTATCAATATAGTCCTAACAACTACCAAACAATGGATTTTTATTCCCTTTCATTAATTCTCAACAACAAATTCCCACCCATAATTCCCAAATTCCCATTTCCACATGTCAAACATCCCGTAAGTGAATATATATGTTAGAGGTAGTTTTTATTAGACCTCATCTACAATATAAGGTTCAATTAACTAATTAAGGTTTTTACAAAAAGTAACGCCTTGATAAACCAACCATTATTCAACAATTTTTGAGGACAGATGCAAAGCCATTAGCCATCGAACACTATTCATCGAAACATTTGACAACCAATTTGCTATATTTATCCTATCTTAGTTAAGTTTAGGCCTTTATATACAAATTTAGAGAATGACGGAGTGTATCTCATTCTTCACAATGTTTTGGTCCATATCTTATGACATAAACACTGAAGGAAGTCTCCATTCTAAACTCCTTAATTGGTGAAATTCGAATCCATTTAGACTAACTTGGTATCTAATCAGGTTTTAGTACTTTATAGTTCGTACTTTATATTCATACTTCGTATAGACGTATAATACTCCGTACAAAATACCACTAACAACAAAACTCTCAAAATTAGCACAATTCCGTACTTGCTACGGGCCTACGGCCACGTGAATACGGCATAAGATCAAACAGCAGCAACAACCTGCCAAATACTCATTTAATTCATTCCAATCTCAAAATCTTACAGTATGATATACTCGACTTTGTCACTCACTCACTCACTCAACTCCACTACTTCACTCACTTATCAAAATCTACACAAATTCTACGAACGAAATATATCATTCTTTCAGCATCTGTCCTATTTCTTACACGGCGATCATCTTCTTCCTTGCACTTGCCACGTTAATCAAAACCCATTTACAGATGGCACTATGCATGGTAACCCCAAATTCTCACTACCCATTTGATCACTTATATAAACGTCATCAGTCAACCTTGTTAATTCATCAACCAAAGCAGTGCACACCAACTGTTTGATAAAAAGCCTAGCTGAAAAAAATACAGAATAACAGAGTAACAGTTGTGAAAAAAAAGATGGGGTTGTTGAAAGGGAAAGTGTCCGTAATTCTGCTGGTGTTTTCTCTACTGGTAGTGTTATGCGCTAGTCTCTCTGTATCTAAGGAAGATCAGCAGCTGAGACTATGCAAGGAACACTGCAGGCAGCAGAGGCAGCTTGACAGCAGACAGAGGCATCAGTGTGAGACTGCCTGTGAGGAGTACATCAGAGAGAAGGAGAGGAGAGAGCAGAGGGATGAGCCGCAGTCGCGGCACGACCCCGGAAAGGAGTACAGCAAGTGCAGGCAGAGGTGCCAGGAGGAGGAGGGTAGGAGACAGGAACAGGTGTGCGAGAGCGAGTGCGAGCAGAGGAAGATAGAGCAGGAGAGGGAGATTAGGAGAAGGAGGGATGAGGATGATGAGATTGTAGGGAGGAAGAGAAGCGAAGACGAGGAAGAAGAGGAGGAAGAGAGCAGTGGTAAAGGTAGGCCTTATGTGTTTGATGATCAACATTGGAGTACAAAACTAAAGGCAGAAGAAGGGAGAGTGAGAGTTCTTCAGAAGTTTACAAAAAGGTCTAAACTTTTTAAAGGGATTGAGAATTTTAGGGTGATGATCTTTGAGGCTAATCCTCAGACTTTTGTTGTTCCTAATCACTGGGATGCTGATGTTGTCCTCTTTGTTGCCCAGGGTAAGTATATTTTAGATTTTTGTTGTTTGGAGCTATAATTATAAATCTTTATATTGTAAAAAAAATATCATATAAACAACTTATTAATAAAGAATATATATAACAGATGTAACAATGAAATTGAGAAAAAATAATCCTTTATTACAAGATAGAATTAAATACAGCAATTCTTTTTATTGAATAAGAAATACTCCCTAGAAAACTAATTTTGCATAGAAACATGAAGAAATACTGCAAAACTAATAATCTAATAAAACTGCATACAGATGCAATTCTAATTATTGAGAGCATATAGAAAACTAATTATGAAAAAAATAATCTAAGTAGTAAAATCTAAGTAATAAGTATATTAGAGGGGATAGTTGAGTTAATTAAAACACCATGTGATGGATGAGATCAACGGCATTAGTAGCAAGTTGATCGAGTGGTGTGACAATGTCGTCAACCCGTTTGAGCAGGACGTCTCTAGCATGTGAGGTTTGCAAATAAGTTGTGCAGTGATTGATAGCATTAAGAACTGTCCTTACGTCGTTTACCATGCTTTGCCTCTTTGATTCCTTTTCCGCCTTACTGCCGCCACCCAAGTGATTGGTTGCCTCCAATGCTTGGTTCAATCCCAAGACGGAGTCAGCAATCATGCTACTGCATTCATTCAGGGAGTTAATTTCATGGGTTTTGAGTTTAGGTTGTTTAGCTTGGTGGGTAAATTTGCTAGACGCAGTTTGAACCTCGGTTATGGTTGCCATGATGGCGAGGCTTGTGGCCTTTTTGGGATGGC